ATATGCAATTATTTATTGTATGTGTGCATATATGTGAATTGCATGGTGCACATGTAGAGGTCTGAGGACAACTTGCAGGAAGGAGTCAGTTCTCTTCCTGTATGTGGGTCCCAGGAATTGAACTCAGGTTGTCAGGCTTGGTGGCAGACACCTTTACCTGGGAAGCCATCTCACCAGTCCAAAAACTTCTATTTATTTTCTATTTATTTGTTTTTCCTGCATATATGTCTGTGCATGTATACTTGGTGCCTTCAGAAGCCAGAAAAGGTTCTGGATCCCCTGGAACTGATGTTCTAGATGGTTGTGAACGATCGTATGCATTCTGGGAACCAAACCCAAGTCCTCTGAAAGAGCAGCCAGTGGCTCTTAACCACTGAGCCATCTTCTCAGTCCCTTGCATTTATTTTTTAATTCATAATATATATATGCATATTATGTTTATTTGTTTAAGGTGGTGTCTCACTGCATAGTCTGACTAACTTGGAACTCAATAGGCAGACCAGGCTGATTTCGAACTCACGGATGTCTGCCTGCCTCTGCCTTGTGAGTACCAGGATTAAAGATGTGTGTCACCACAACCAGCTTTAATTCTTTTATTGATGAGATCAAAAGCCCCACGAGGGGACCTTGATTTCCTAGACATCACGTGACGGCTCTGCTGGGGCTCCCTATGATTTCTGGTAACACTTTTTCCTACCTTTTAATTCTTTAATTGGCAGAGGAAATGATCTCATTCTTGCATCCTTAAGTGGTATCAAGGGTTAAAGGCCTGCATTCAAATTCTGAGAACGACTTAAAACCTCTTATCAGGGGTGGAGATTGGCAGATGGCCCCGCTGAAACAGTGAGCTCTGATTCAAGGGGCCACTGTGTCAAAAGCAAGGTCAAGAGCGAGAGAGGAAGACCCCGTGTCCTTCTCCTGCTTCTGCTTGCCCATGCAGCACACACGTGGGTACCCCACCCAAAGATCACCAAAACAAACAACAAGTCTCTGAACTTCCCTGTCAGAAGAAATACACAATAAACAATGCTGAGACACCATTTTAATCGGGTCAGAAATTACAAACCCAGGTAACTGCAACTGTTCACCACGTTTACCTGAGAATATGGTATGAGAGTTTCAAACTGTTGATGAAGTTCTAGTAGCTGAATTAGTTCTGCATTCTTTTTGGCTTTTTCTTTAATCAAGTTAATATAATGTTCAGGATTTTCTGCAAATGAATATGCAGCATCTCTGGTATTGAAAGTATAATATTTTTCCTTATATTTCAAAATTCCAATGGTTGGATTTCCTGTGAAAATTAAGAAAAATAATTTAACTAGGCATCAAACAAATGACTTATGATAAGCCATAGGACCAGTGATGCTGTGGTTTAGTTTTTGTTTTGCTGGTGGTGTTGGCAGTCCACCCAGAGCCTGTCATGTGCTAACCACTACTCTACCACGGAGCTGCATGTCCACCCCACATACTCCATTTTAACATATCAGTTCTACTTTTGTTTTGCTAAAATAATATTAAAGATAAACATGTGAAACTCATACTAAACTATGTATTTTTAACTTTAAAATATATTTCCTAGGGGTGAAGAGATGGCATAGCAGTAAAAATTAAATAGGACTCTTGCACAGAACCCAAATTCACTTCCCAGCACCTTCATCCAGTGACACATGACTGCCTGTTTTTAGGAATTCTGTGCCTTCTTCTGGCCTCTACAAGCACCTACAATAACACGTGTATATACCTCTACACAGACATACACATATACACATAATTTAAAAAATAAAATAAATCGGGGTTGTCTTTTCCAAAGGACCTGAGTTGGTTCCCAGCATTCTGTCAGATAACTCAAAAAACCTGCAACTCCACATCCTCTTTTGACCTCCAAGGGTCATGCTGCATTCACACACACAGCAAAACACATATATATGAATAAAAAAACAAATGAATCTTTAAAAACTGAGTTTTATGTAAAAATCCTCCTATACAGACACAATATGTGTAAAACCATCTTAGGGAAACCATTTAGTCTATTTGGCAAAATTTACAAACGTACTTAAATTAATCTACTTACTAAAGTGTAGAAGGCACAAGGTCATTGTGCTTACAGACAAGCACTAGGGAAACCAGGAATGTCATACAGTAGGGCTGTCTCTTCAACAGAGGACATGCATACCTGTTTCCTCCCAGAAGGCTGGGAGTGGATATAGTTAATATCATGGTGATCTGTACCATCTGTAGAGCTTAGCCACATCTGAATCCCCAGATTGGTATGTTTATCTCAAGCTCTTCCTCTCTACACCCTTATCCCTAGCATTGTTTCTCAGTCAATAGAACCTATCTTTACGGAAGAGGGCACAAGTACTTTTGATGTAGCCACAGCTTCAGCTTTACTGGTGATAATTTCCTGATGACAACTGTCACCAGGAAACTTTGTTCCCAAATGTATTTTGCTTAAGTATGTCTAAAATAAACTGTCCCATGTCAGACACAAAAAGTTTGAACTAAAACTGGCCAGTGAGCTGTGATAAACTGGATCTCCTTCTTGCCTCATGTGGATAGTTACTTTGTCGGCCCTGGTGTTTGCAGAGACCTCCACACTAAAGGAGAGGTGTGTGCACATACATGAGGGTGTGTGTGGTATGTGTGTGTATGTATATGGGCATGTGCACATGGCTAGTGGGGACAAGAGGAGGACATTTGGCTGAGTGTGGTGGTGCACACCTTTAATCCTAGCACTTAGGAGGCGAGGCAGGAGGATCTCTGTGAGTCTGGGGCCACCCTGGTCTACAGAGCAAGTTCCAGGACAGCCAGGACTGAATAGAGACCCTGTCTCCAAAGAGGAGGAGGAGGTGGTGGACATCTGGTGCCCTTCGCTATCATTCTCCACCTTATTCCTTGGACACGAGTTCTCTCACTAAATCCGAAGTTAGGCTGGCAGTCTACAGATTCCTGTTTCTGTGCCCAGGCTGGCCCTGTGCTGGGGCTTTAGGACTGTGCACAGTCACACACAGCATTTTAATGTGGGGTCTAGGTGTCTGAACTTAGGCCCTTCATAGTTGCACAGCTTACGTACTAGCTGCATCCATAGTTCCCAGTAGTTCTTACCCACATGGCCACAACCACACCCCCAGTGCTTCTCACCACAGCCCCCAGCGCTTCTTACCACTAAGACACATCCACAGCCCCTAATATACTGTTTGCAAAATAACTCGGTAAGAACTACAAAAGTATGGCATCTTTTCCTCAGTGCAGATTTGCATATATTCAACAATAAAAAGACTATGGGATGTTAAATATCCAAATGCGTAAAAAAAAAAGGAGTATGAGAATGGTATTTTAATAAAAATTGGCGATTAGGAAAAGCTTAGTAAAATGAAAGAATAGAGCATGAGTTGGGGTAGAGTGATCCAGAAAAACACTTCTGATAGACATGAGGTCATCTGGAAAGGACAAATGTGACAGTACGGTAAGTCAGTGTCACTTTGGGTATAAGCCACATAGTCTGCACTCTCAACAGTTGAAAACATTTTACAAAGTCCCTCTGAGTGAACAGTCTCTGATGCATAGGCAAAGATATCACACAGTAAGCAGAGGCAAAAGGCCCAGCCCTGATTTATCCAGGGAGGACTCTGAAACAGAGCCTGACAGCCTCTACATTCCCATGTCTCTTGATTAGTAACACAGCAGGCAGACTGCCTGTCTTTACCTCACTGCCATGTTTCTAGTGTGTTTGTTCCTCATAACATAAAGAATAAGCTACTTTGTTCTCTCTAACATGCAAGCATAGAATTACACAATTCTTTGACAGAAAACAATACCCAACTATAAAACACAGAAGACTAACACAGAGGTAAAGAAAAGGGATGAAGGATGAGGTTAATGGTACCAAGTAAATATTAAGTAGTTCTTTCAAACTGCTTTTACTGTACTCTGTCCTAGTTTACTTTCTGTTGCTATAATAAAGCATGGGATAGAGCCAACTTGGGGAAGGAAGTGGTTTCTTTCAGTTTATAAGCTTATAGTCCATCACTGAAGGAAGCCAAGGTAGGAACTCAAGCAGGGACCTGGAGGCATGAACTGAAACAAAGAATCATGGAGGAACCCTGCTTGTCTGCACGCTCTCCATGGCTTCCTCTGCTGCCTTTCTTACACAGACCAAGCCACAGATGGCGCTGTCTACAACTGGCTGGGTTCTCCTACATTAGCAAACAAAAAGAAAAGGCCTCTCAGACCTGTCCAGAGGCCAGCCTGATGGCCTCTTCCCACATGTCACATTGACAACTAGACCTAATTATAGGCTTCGTGTCATCCTCACTTCACGCAGCGCTTTCTGAATAATAATGTATTGTCTCTCAATACCAAATTTACTATTATATATACTATTATATATACATGTATAATGATGTGCCCCACCACTGTGTCAGTTAATTTTTTAAAAGACACTGTTGCCGGGTGGTGGTGGCGCACGCCTTTAATCCCAGCACTTGGGAGGCAGAGGCAGGCGGATCTCTGTGAGTTCGAGGCCAGGCTGGACTGACAGCCTCCAAAACAATACAGAGAGACCTTGTCTCATAAAACCAAAAAAAAAAAAAAAAAAGACACTGTTATAAGCACTGCTAACCCATGTTCCTGGACTCCTGCTGTACACATGAGTCATCCCCTTTTCAGGTCATAATAGAGTCCATATTATATAATACTGACTGAGCTTCCTTACTATGAAATGTGAAATGCTTCAAAATCATAATGCGCCAAGCAGGAAATTCATGTGGTAAGTCACAGTAAAAATATGGGAGCACTAAAAGTAATGTACTCTTTTAGCACTCTTTGCATAAAATGCCTATGAGACATGACTGGGTTTGTGTTTAAACTTGGGTCCTACCTCAATAGGTCTCATTCTTCCAAATCCACAATTAGAAACCCTTTTGGCCTGAAGCATTTTAGATAAGAGACAGTCAACCTGCTACCACTTACTCCTCATGAGCTCTTGTTGAATCTACCAGGTTATACTGGAAGCACCTTAGCTGAGGACACTGAGGACCATCTCTACATCTCCTGCTTGGTTCACCATCTGAGCCCATCAAGTTTTATGGGACAGTGACGTTGGTACAATAAGCAGTCAGTATGGGACAGACATCACGAGGGCAGACTGTTCTCTCCAACAACATACCTGGGAGAAGAAGACCGTCGGCTGCAGCAAACGTGTAGCCACAAAACCCACGGTACTGAATTAACAGTTTATCAAAATTTGCTGTTGTCTCTGGAAAAAGCCACTCCTGTTTTCTGAAATCTGGCAAATGCACTCTTTCTTCTAAAATGAAAGAGAACAGGAAATGGTTTTCATCCCTTGAGAAGATGCAATTTCCTAAGCAAATCAGCAGGAGGTCATTCTAAACATTAACTTTTTACCATCTGTACTTTTTCTGATTGACAACATTTCCTGTGACCAGACTGACTGGGGTGGAGCAGTGGGAATACCTCAGGGACGGTCCGAGTCAGTAACTTGCTAGAGCAAATGTGGGATAGAAGTTTGCTCCAGAATCAACAACACAGAGACCTTTCAGAAAAACCTGCTTTGCCGCTGCAGGGAAGCAAACCAAAGCTCTTCTGTCAGGTGTGCAGGGTTCCCTGCTGCCACACATGACGTCACCCAAGGAGATGAGCAGAAAGAGTTAGTTGAACAAGAGGACCTTCTTCATTCAAGATGTCATACGCTTCATACAACTCTAGACAGACAACACTCTTTGAATGCAGCGTTTATATAACTAGACTGTGTCTCAAAATTGTAGAAGACATCTTTTGCTAGTTTGACTTTGATTAAAGGGTATACAATTTTGGTTCCTTTGACTTTTTTCTTAGTTATTTTTATGTTGCATGTATATGTGAGTGGCTACATATGTATGTATGTGCACTGTATGCATGCCGGGTGCTCCAGAGCCCGAAGAGGGTGCTGGAGTCCCGTGGTGCCACAGATGCAGGCCATTACTTGGGTCCTCTGCTACAGCAGCTAGTGAACATCATCCTGCCTGTTCTTTTGACTTTAAAGATAGTTCCTCACACCGGTTGCTTTGCTTACATTGATAACCAGCATGAATAAATAGATAAAAGTGATATATTCATGAAAAACTATTTCCATATTTCTAATACGTCTGATTCTAGTCCCAAACAGCAAACATCCTGTTTTGACCTTGTATCGACAACTAAAAGTAAATCCTAACTTGGAGAAAATAAATGGTTTATGCCCAAGATCTCTAGGAATGATAAGTAGGTATAAATTAAATTCTTTTCAAAGAATATTGGCTCTCTCAGTTCACTAAACAATATCCAAATCAGGCCAGGCATTGATGGCACACGCCTTTAGTCCCAGCACTCGGGAGGCAGAGGCAGTCAGATCTCTGTGAGTTTGAAGCCAGCCTGGTCTACAGAGTGAGTTCCAAGACAGCCTTCAAAGCTACAAAGAGAAACCCTGTCTACAAAAACCAAAAGAAAGAAAGAAAAATAACAATCAAATACTCTGACGGGAAATGGTATGAAATAACATCTCTAAATCTAAGAAGCTGCAGCTTAACTGAACACCCACAATTTAACTTACTTCAAAACTTTTCAATGTCTTTTCATATCTGCTTAGACACGCTGTTGTAATGAAGTTGTACTGAAAGGATTTTAGTGTATCCTATTTAACTTTCGGTTCTTTTTTTTTTCTGGTTTTTCAAGGCAGGGTTTCTCTGTATTGTTTTAGAGCCTGTCCTGGAACTCGGTAGACCAGGCTGGTCTTAAACTCACAGAAGCCCGCCTGCCTCTGCCTCCCGAGTGCTGGAATTAAAGGCATGCGCCACCAACGCCCGGTGCTTTCAGTTCTTATATACTCAAATAATTTAAGAAATGGAGTCTTTGCTATATTCTTACTTTCTATTTTTACCAACATAGACTTTTAAAAAGAAATTAGTGACTCATCTAATTTCATTTTTCTGAAAAAAGGTTGAGTATTAAGTTCTAAACCCTTCTTTGACATTTCTCATGAACTTTAGACTGTTTTTAGCTAAGATAGAAAACACAAAAAGTTGATGAAATGATAGAAAGTTCACTTTAATGTCAACCTTTCTTTAAGAATAAATACATCTTTTAAAGGGCCTAAAATTAGCTCAATTAATTTTATAAGGATAAAATGAATTGGTTCATAAATCTCAACTTGATACTAAGAAGATATGTAGCAAATAAGAGTCTATAAAATAGAGCTTTAGCTGCAATAAATACAGCAAGAATTTTTCTCAGTACATCAATTACAAAACCAGTACTACTGAAATACAAATGCACAAGCACATAAGGCCAAGACATGAAGGACTACAATAAGAATTAATTCCTGGACAGTAAAGTATTCAGTTTCTGTATATTTTCACATTTTTGAGACAGGGTCTCCTATAGCCCAGAGTGGCCTTGAATCTATTGTGCAGCCTAGGCTAGCTTTGAACTCCTGACCCTCCTCTACCAGCTACATGCTAAAACCTAAATGTGTGTTTCCCCATGTCTGTTCTTTTTCTGTATTTTCTATAATCAATACCAGTCTTTCATAATTAAGATGTTTAGTGTTTATCGGAAAGCTACAGAGTAAAGATTTTAAGACAAAAAGAGTGACTTTGAGCTAACGGAGAAAGAAACACGGTTAGTGAGCATTACCCATGTGCTCCTTGAGTCTAGCCATGTCAGTTTTCACAGTGACATCGCCAAGAAGACCTTGGATCACTTTCTCGGGAAAGAGAAGCTCGTGAGTGCCCAGGAAGAGCTCCAGGTTAGTGGTCAAATTACTGAGGACACTAATCAGCACTGTCTCATCCTGAAAGCTTATCCACAGACTTGCCAGGGCAATGAATATAGGCTAAAGAGAGAAAAACACCAAAAACGTAACTGAGTGATCGTCATCCCTGTATTCTTAAAAATAAATATGAGTGGCAAAGAAACTCATTCTGCTATAGCCAAAGTCTTTCGAAGCTAGAGAAGACTCCTGAGTCAGGCAGAGGGAAACCTGGGGTTTCTTTCAAAGGTTTTCATTTGGCATATCTTCTAGAAAGTTACTTACTCAGAAAGTAACCAAACGTATTTGCTCTCTTAAGGAATAGTAACACTTTACCTCAAAAGGCCAAGGAAGAAAATATACTTGAAAATTTTTGTTTACAAACTAAATGATAGCTGATTTCTCTGGCCCAGCCATGAATCAAAAGATGCAGGAAAGCACACATGTGCATCTTATGCACACGGAGAGAGCTGCAGTTAAAGCTTGGGATCAGCCAATACAGTATTTATTCACAGTAGAGATTGACGACTTATAGAACAAAGTCAACCAGGCCTCACATAAGCTGCTTTTTTAAAACCGATGTTGAGAATGACTGCAGAAAGTTACCAGTTTCAAATGTCTATATCCATGTGAAATGCATGTACATGTTACAGTTTCCTTGTTCAGATCAGGTTGCAATGATTTTCTATAAAGTGGTGCTGTTGTTCAGGAAGCGGATGCCTGGTAAACCAAAAAGTTACCTTCCTTTCAGCTAACATGACAGCTGTCACCTCTGTGCCAGGCACAGTTTCTGAGAGACTACGATGAACACATTTTCATTCCCTCCCCACCCTTTTCCTCCCTCCCTCCCACATCCCTCCCTCCCACTCCCTCCCCCTCCCTCCCACCTTCCCCCTCCCTCTTTCTTTCTGCCTTTTCCCCCACCGTGTGTGTGGGAGTGGGAGTGTGCAGAGGCCAGAGGTTGGTGTTGGGCATCTTCCTCAATCTCCCTTTGTCCCACATCTTAAGTTGACATCTCTCACTAAGCCTGAAGCTCACTGATTGGTCAGAAATCCTCCTGGCTCTGCCTACTCAGCACCATACCTGGCTTTTTACATAGGTGCTGGGGATCTGAACTCAGGTGTTTGCGTGGCTGTGTGGCAAGCCTTTTACCAACTGAGCTACCTTCTCAGCTCTGTAAACACGCTTTCAACATTTCAGTGGACTGCTCTGTTGCCATAGATGATACGGTTATCACTACTAGAGATTATCATTTCCTTCCGTAACAACTGCCCTCGTCAGGCAAGCAGCAGGCTTTTGCTAAGACATAACCATGAAGAACAGGACCAACTTGTACAAGACTGTTACATAGTATATGATATTATTCTAATGGAATATATGTATAAAGAATTCTGAACTGACTTATAGGACTCAAAAGGATGCTCAGCCTGAAGGAATTACACCTGCCATGGTGGTCACAGGCCTGTATTCCAGCACGTAGGATGTGGGCACAGGGGATCCACAGTGGAGGACAACTTAGGGTATCCACTGAGCCAAACAGTGAGGTAATGACACAAAAAATACCAGCAAACAACAACAACAACAAGCCCCACGGCCTCGGGAATTAGCTCAGCAGCAGAGCACTTGCCTGGTCTGTACACCACTGGGATCGATCACAGGGGAGAAAAGGAGGACTAGGAGGTAGCTCACAAGCCTGAAAACCCAAGTTCGGTTCCAGGGTCCCACTAAGAAAGTAGAGAAGCAAATGTGAATGTGTTCTCTGGCCTCCATGTGTGCAGTGTGGCATGCCCCTTCGCCATAACAAATAAGACAAAATACATTTCAAACTGTCAGTTACTGAGTGTGCACATGTAATCCCAGCACCCACAGTCAGACGTAGGGGGATATTTGTGAATTTGGGGCCAACCTGGTCTACATAGCAAGTTCCAAGACAGGGCTACATACTGGGATCCTATTTCGAAAAAAAAAAAAAACCAAGGTCAAAGAGGATGACAAATACTTACAAAGACTTGTGATGTTGGGACAGCTGTCTTTGACTTTACTGTCATTTTTAATTGTTCCAGTTGAGCTGCTAAATGTTTTATCATCATTTCCACTTCTTGAGCACAAGTAATTATATCTGACTGTGAAGACAACATCATTTGTACTAATATTTTATAGTTTTGCTATAAATACATGTTGAGCCCTACCTGCTCCCAACCAAGTAACAATGACGTTGTGAGTTCCACTCCCTGCCAAACAGTGTATGAAACAGATGCTCTGAATTAAAAGTGTTGCAAATACACATAGCACTGTTTAATTATAGCATGTTACTAATCATATTACCAAACACTAGAGAAAATCAACAATTATAAACTAACTGCTACAATACAGTTCCACTAAGATCAAACCTAGCTTTGCTGTTTCTGTTTTAATCACCGATCACACGAAGGCAATGTGACTTCCTAAGGTTACCAAAGGCAATCTAACTTCCTAAGGTTACTGCCTTCATGGTCACCTCATCCTTAAGAGACTGCATTACACAGAAAATGCCAGACTTTGTGACCTTAGCTCACCAAAACAGTCTGAAGGAAGATCTCATACTGTCGAATATTATACAACGCTTCCTTTAACATATATGGCTCAAGCTCCTTGATCATGAGTGGGTTCTTGGTTACTTTCTCGAGGATGGCTGTGTAGCGAAATGCCTGGTCTTGGGCAATCTGCAGCTGGGAGTCAATATGCTGTGTGGTGGCTGGGATTGCTTCATGGAGAATAGCTGGCACTGTTTGTCAGGGCATGAGAGTACCGGGGGTGAGAAGAGGATCAAGGAAAAACAGGCCAGAACATAGTTGTATTTTAAACATTAAATTGAGGCAGATTTTCCTTATAGGTTATTTAATAATAAAGCATATTTTTCATGGTCCCACCCCATACAGAAAAAAAACTATCAAAACAAAACCAGTGTCAGAAAAATAAAAAAGTACAATCCAAATCACTTTTCTCACTAAAATATAGAAAATATGGTAGATTGTGGTGTCAAATGGTATTAGTCATGCTCCTTTAGAAAAATCAA